CTTTAATAATAACTATGTTTCCAACAATAAGTGTGTCTTTATTCACAACATCACAGTTAAATGAGTTGAAACGATGAGTTTAGAACGGTCACATAAACCTACAGTAGAAACACATGTAATGATCTCAAACAGCTTCACTCTTATTTTTGTTCTGAAGAGGAGAAAGTAGCAGTCATCAGTACAAATACAATACAAATTGGTAAGGGTCCAGCTTTCTTACAATGTCTGACTTCAGCTCTCTCACCATCAACTTCTCAAGGCACTTCATAACGTTGGAGGTCAAGGCTATGGGCCTATGATCATAATCCTCAGGTGTTTAATGGACAGGGATGATGGTTGCAGTTTTCCATTGGGATGATATGATGTGTGAAGACAGGGGACCAAGCTGATGAGAGTTCCTCTGCACATGTCTCCGGGCCAGTAGCTTTATTAGTGTTAAACGTCTTAAAAGATTTTTGTGACCTCCTCAGCACTGATTTTTGGAGCTCCCCGGACTCTTGTATTGTTTAATGTTCACTGTTCAATGTTAAAAATATTAATGAGAACATTCATATTTTTAAAAGCAGGCTCAAGACACACCATTTTAGATTAGCTTTTGATTAGTATTTATTATTCCATTTTATATATTCTATTTATCTTTTAGACACATTTTATTTTAGTTTTATTATTGTTATTACTATTATTAATATGTACAGTGATAGTTGCCTTTTAGTCTCACATTTTAATGTTTTACTTTTTTATTATATTGTTTTTAGTGTACCCAGTGTTTCCTCTGGAGGAGCCCTCTCCACTGGGAGCGGTGGTCGGTGTGGCTGCGGGGGTCGGACTCTTGGGCCTGGTGGGAGGTCTGGGGCCTCGGTTTCATGTCTCCTCTGGGTCCTGTGTCGTCCCCTGTGGCTACGGGCGGCTCTCTGCTCCCGGTGCAGACGGCTTTTCAGCTGGTTGCATTTGAACCCTGCCAAGTCTGTGTGTGTTCTTAATAATATATGTGGTTTGGGTGGGTTTGTTGGGTGGTCGGGGGAGGGGTCATGGGCAGGATTGTTTTTAACCAAACTGTAATGCACTTTGTGTTGCATTTCCTGTATGAAAGGCGCTTTATAAATACAATTTTGATTGATTGAATGTTCTATGACTATCAGCAGAAAAATCATGCAAAATTATGCCTCAAATAAAAAGTATTCAAATCATTTGCTATTTTTCTTTTGTCTGTTGCACACTTGCAACTATTCGTGCCCGTACAGAACAAATGTCACAACAATGCACAGTTTAGCCTGGCTCACTGTAAAAAGCAGAACACAGTATTATTTATTAACGTTTATCAGGAATGTTTTAGTGTCACACAATCCTGAAACAATATATAATAAATTGAAACTGTTTTCAAATTCTCATGATCATGCCACACGGCAAAGTAGTGATTTAAGGTGTGTGCTCCCTGCTTGCAGAACAAATAAAATGCAGAAAACTGTAGTCTATCGAGCCATGGTTGCATGGAACTTGTTGCCCTCCTTTCTGATCAAAGAGAGTGAGAGAATTCATTTTCAAAATAAATTAAAGCTATATCTTTTCACACATGAACATTAATTATACATCAAATATAATATTTTATATTTGAGTTGGACTGAAGCCACTGGGGTTGGAGTTGGACTGAAGCCACTGGAGAAAGTTCATTTGTTATTATTATTATTATTATTATTATTATTTTTTTTTTTTTTCATAGTTGTAAATGATTTCTCGCTGAGCTGTCATATTGTCGTGTGTGTGTGTGTGTGTGAGTGTGTGTGTGAGTGTGTGTGTGAGTGTGTGTGTGATTTATGTATAAAAATATGTAAAAGCATGTAATGATTTTGAGGAGACCCCAGGAAGATTAGTCACTGCATCTCAGTGGCTAATGGGGATCTTAATAAACTAAACTAAACTAAACTATTCGTGATGGTTTTCATAGTGGCCCACATCTTTCTCGTTTCCCCGTTCCTGAAATCCTTTTTAATTGTGTTCTTATATTGTGTTGTTTTTCATTGATCTTCTGTTTTAGCTCTTGTTGTATAGATCTCATTTCTACATGATCATTGTTCTTAAATGCAGCCTTCTTAGGTAAGGCAAGTTTATTTATATAGCACAAACATACACAAGGCAACTCAAAGTGCTGAACAAAATAAGAAAACATTAAAATAATGAATAATCACAGAACATTAAAAAGGAAGATACAAATATAAAATCCCTCAGTTGTAGCACAGCTAAACAGCACTGTCTTTAACCTGGTTTTAAACATTGTCAGAGAGGAGGCCTGTCTCACATCTTCAGGAAGACTGTTCCAGATTTTAGCAGCATGAATCTGAAAAGCAGCCTCCCCATGTTTAGTTCTGACTCTGGGCACTAACAGGAGTCCAGTCCCTGTGCTCCTCAGAGTCCCAGCAGGAGTCCAGTCCCTGTGCCCCTCAGAGTCCCAGCAGGAGTCCAGTCCCTGTGCTCCTCAGAGTCCCAGCGGGAGGCCCGTCCCTGTGCTCCTCAGAGTCCCAGCAGGAGTCCAGTCCCTGTGCTCCTCAGAGTCCCAGCAGGAGTCCAGTCCCTGTGCTCCTCAGAGTCCAGCAGGAGGCCAGTCCCTGTGCTCCTCAGAGTCCCAGCAGGAGGCCAGTCCCTGTGCTCCTCAGAGTCCCAGCAGGAGTCCAGTCCCTGTGCTCCTCAGAGTCCCAGCAGGAGGCCAGTCCCTGTGCTCCTCAGAGTCCCAGCAGGAGTCCAGTCCCTGTGCTCCTCAGAGTCCCAGCAGGAGTCCAGTCCCTGTGCTCCTCAGACTCCCAGCAGGAGGCCAGTCCCTGTGCTCCTCAGAGTCCCAGCAGGAGTCAGTCCCTGTGCTCCTCAGAGTCCCAGCAGGAGTCCAGTCCCTGTGCTCCTCAGAGTCCCAGCAGGAGTCCAGTCCCTGTGCTCCTCAGAGTCCGGGCTGGTTCATATGGGACTAACATGTCACTAATATATTTTGGTGCGAGGCCATGGAGAGACTTGTAACAAGCAGAGCTGTTTTAAAGTCTATTCTCTGAGCCACAGGAAGCCAGTGCAGAGACCTGAGAACTGGACTAATGTGGTCGTACTTCCTGGTTCTAGTCAGGACTAATGTGGTCGTACTTCCTGGTTCTAGTCAGGACTAATGTGGTCGTACTTCCTGGTTCTAGTCAGGACTCGAGCTGCTGCATTTTGAATGTACTGCAGCTGTTTTACAGCCTGTTTGGACAGACCTGTGAGCAGCCATTGCAGTAGTCTAACCTACTGGAGACAAATGCATGGATAAGAATCTCCAAGTCTGCTTTAGACACTATGTTTTTGATCCTGGCAATGTTTTTTTTTAATGTACAGTATAATGCAGTCCTTATCATCTTGTGTGATGTAGAAGCTGTTGTTTGGATAGAATTGTTTTGTCTTTTTGAATATAACAGCGTCAACACAAAAAATATGTATGACTTCATAACTTCCGTGGCTATGTCCCTCTTTAGTAAGGGACATAGCCACGAGACATTCCAACTTCCAAAAATTTTTTAGAAAAACACGATCTAATAAAATACTTTTGTTGGTCGCTTGGATACAGTACAATACATTCATTAGATTTAATTTATTATTTCTATTATTAACTGACAAACTAGCAGCTGTCGGGAAACTCCAGGAAACATATCTCAGTAAAACAAATAAAGGTTTATCGTAAATCTTAAATGTATCCGATTGAGAGTATAGAGCTGGTGTTCCACGACCGGGACCAAAACCACACTGCTCCTCCTGGATCCGAGATTCAACCATCAGTCGAAGTCTCCAGTACCTTGGAGTAGACCTTACCGGGGAAGCTGAGGAGTGTGATCCGACAATTGGAACACACCCTCCGGTCCCCTTCTTGTAGAGAGGGACCACTCCATTGGTGGCGATCGAGCCCAATTTCAGAGGTGTGTCAGCGACAGTCCTACAACATCCAAAGAAACTTAAGGTTATTTAACATAACCTCGGTTCTTTGAAAACAGTGTTTCACCACAGATTACAGAGTCGAGGTGTTCTGCCTCCGTTTTTTTAGTGGCTAGATGAACACCTGTTTAATTGTGATTGGTACATTTTGATTTACTTGTAAATGAGTTTCTAATAATTAAATTTAAACACTGTTTTCTTATTGGTTTGGTTGCTATGCAGTTTTGGTTCATTTGGTTGCTATGCATGGTTTCTAGGCAGTAGAAGGCTCTCAAATGTAAACATGCTTGTTAACAGTTAGTAACAGTAACAGTCTGCTGAGGTTACTACTGTCTCCACTTGTGTCTCAACTTTTCTACATGTACGAAAGCAATAACTAAGTTTTACAAGTGTGTTGTTATTTGTTTATTTCTGTCAATCAAAGCTAAATGTACATTATTTCTGTTTTATTTCAAGCAACATCCTCCAAAGGCAGCATGTCCAGTGTTCATGCAGCGGCCGCCCTGGCACGGGCCTCTGCCGAAGCAGCAAATACCAAAGCAAAATACAGTAAGAAAAAACTAGAAATGAAAAGATTACAAGCAGAGAAAGAACTAGAAATTAAAAATCAGCAGGCACAACTAGAATTAGAAAAGGCAACACTAGAAGCAGATTTAGAGATGCTTGAGGCAGAAAGGGATGCTGCAGCCAAGACAGCGGAGGCAAAGGTTTTAGAAGCAGCAGTATCTGCAGTACAAGACGATGGTGAAAGTGTAAAAAGTGCAGTCCCACTCCAAGTTATCACTCAGAGAACAAAAGAGTATGTAGAGTAGACCATCAAAACCAATTAACTCATTGAATGCCAGCCTATTTCAGAAAAGGTACTCCCACAGTGCCAGCCATTTATGATGATTTTTACTGATTTTTCAAGACCCACAGAATATTGTGTACTGTGACTATCTGAAATCCGACACCAGATTCTAAAAGAATGGACTGTCTACTTTCCTCAGCAAAAAGAATTTTGGGTAACACTTTACATTACGGGCCGGTAAGTCCATGGTACTTACAGTGGTACTTCTAGGTACTTACAGTGGTACTTCTAGGTACTTACAGTGGTACTTACGGTGGTACTTACGGTGGTACTTACGGTGGTACTTACGGTGGTACTTACGGTGGTACTTACAGTGGTACTTACAGTGGTACTTACGGTGGTACTTACGGTGGTACTTACGGTGGTACTTACGGTGGTACTTACGGTGGTACTTACGGTGGTACTTACAGTGGTACTTACAGTGGTACTTACGGTGGTACTTACGGTGGTACTTACGGTGGTACTTACGGTGGTACTTACGGTGGTACTTACAGTGGTACTTACGGTGGTACTTACGGTGGTACTTACGGTGGTACTTACGGTGGTACTTACAGGGGTACTTACGGTGGTACTTACGGTGGTACTTACGGTGGTACTTACAGTGGTACTTACAGTGGTACTTACAGTGGTACTTACAGTGGTACTTCTAGGTACTTCTAGGTACTTACAGTGGTACTTCTAGTGGTACTTCTAGGTACTTATTGTGGTACTTACAGTGGTACTTCTAGGTACTTACAGTGGTACTTAGAGGTACTTATTGTGGTACTTACAGTGGTACTTCTAGGTACTTATTGTGATAATTCTAGATACAGCTGTAACTTAGTAATTCAAGGATACTACAGCATTATTCCTATGTAGTAAATGTGGTACTTCTACATACATACATACAGAGGTCATTTGTAGGATTGTTTGACTATAAAACATAAAACAACATTATGTAAAACAAACGTCTTTATTAATATGGAATAAGTAGCACAGAAAGGACAGTATAAATACATTTAATGCATATTTCAAAACAAGTTTCAAGGACAAGGGAAACACTGCAAGAACTAGGTACCCAACCCAAGTAACAAGAATTACACATTACCAGGTACTTACCAGCAAGTACCAGGTACTTAACAGCAAGTACCAGGTACTTAACAGCAAGTACCAGGTACTTACCATAGGGACTGGCCCATAATAAGACAAAGGACTTTAACATAAGTACCAGTGATAACACCAGTAATTATACAGTAAGTACCAGGTACTTACCATAGGGACTGGCCCATAATAAGACAAAGGACTTTAACATAAGTACCAGTGATAACACCAGTAATTATATAGTAAGTACCAGGTACCTACCATAGGAACTGGCCCATAATAAGACAACGGACTTACCCATAAGTACTAGTGATACCAGTAATTATATAGTATACCATGTACTTACCAGCAAGTACCATGTACTTACCAGCAAGTACCAGGTACTTACCATAGGGACTGGCCCATAATAAGACAAAGGACTTTAACATGAGTACCAGTGATAACACCAGTAATTATACAGTAAGTACCAGGTACTTACCATAGGGACTGGCCCATAATAAGACAAAGGACTTTAACATAAGTACCAGTGATAACACCAGTAATTATATAGTAAGTACCAGGTACCTACCATAGGAACTGGCCCATAATAAGACAACGGACTTACCCATAAGTACTAGTGATACCAGTAATTATATAGTATACCATGTACTTACCAGCAAGTACCAGGTACTTACCAGCAAGTACCAGGTACTTACCAGCAAGTACCAGGTACTTACCAGCAAGTACCAGGTACTTACCAGCAAGTACCAGGTACTTACCAGCAAGTACCAGGTACTTAACAGCAAGTACCAGGTACTTACCAGCAAGTACCAGGTACTTGCTGGTAAGTACATGGTATACTATATAATTACTGGTATCACTAGTACTTATGGGTAAGTCCTTTGTCTTATTATGGGCCAGTTCCTATGGTAAGTACCTGGTACTTACTATATAATTACTGGTGTTATCACTGGTACTTATGTTAAAGTCCTTTGTCTTATTATGGGCCAGTCCCTATGGTAAGTACCTGGTACTTACTGTATAATTACTGGTGTTATCACTGGTACTTATGTTAAAGTCCTTTGTCTTATTATGGGCCAGTCCCTATGGTAAGTACCTGGTACTTACTGTATAATTACTGGTGTTATCACTGGTACTTATGTTAAAGTCCTTTGTCTTATTATGGGCCAGTCCCTATGGTAAGTACCTGGTACTTGCTGTTAAGTACCTGGTACTTGCTGTTAAGTACCTGGTACTTGCTGGTAAGTACCTGGTACTTGCTGGTAAGTACCTGGTACTTGGCTGGTAAGTACCTGGTAATGTGTAATTCTTGTTACTTGGGTTGGGTACCTAGTTCTTGCAGTGTTTCCCTTGTCCTTGAAACTTGTTTTGAAATATGCATTAAATGTATTTATACTGTCCTTTCTGTGCTACTTATTCCATATTAATAAAGACGTTTGTTTTACATAATGTTGTTTTATGTTTTATAGTCAAACAATCCTACAAATGACCTCTGTATGTATGTATGTAGAAGTACCACATTTACTACATAGGAATAATGCTGTAGTATCCTTGAATTACTAAGTTACAGCTGTATCTAGAATTATCACAATAAGTACCTAGAAGTACCACTGTAAGTACCACAATAAGTACCTCTAAGTACCACTGTAAGTACCTAGAAATACCACTGTAAGTACCACAATAAGTACCTAGAAGTACCACTAGAAGTACCACTGTAAGTACCTAGAAGTACCTAGAAGTACCACTGTAAGTACCACTGTAAGTACCACTGTAAGTACCACCGTAAGTACCACCGTAAGTACCACCGTAAGTACCCCTGTAAGTACCACCGTAAGTACCACCGTAAGTACCACCGTAAGTACCACCGTAAGTACCACCGTAAGTACCACCGTAAGTACCACCGTAAGTACCACCGTAAGTACCACCGTAAGTACCACCGTAAGTACCACCGTAAGTACCTAGAAGTACCACTGTAAGTACCTAGAAGTACCACTGTAAGTACCACTGTAAGTACCACTGTAAGTACCACCGTAAGTACCACCGTAAGTACCACCGTAAGTACCACCGTAAGTACCACCGTAAGTACCACCGTAAGTACCACCGTAAGTACCACTGTAAGTACCTAGAAGTACCACTGTAAGTACCTAGAAGTACCACTGTAAGTACCATGGACTTACCGGCCCGTAATGTAAAGTGTTACCGAATTTTGTTTATAGCTTTTTTCGTTCCCCTGTAATCCTCCGTTGAGTAGAGGGAAGTTTTACTGAAATCACCAGAAATCACCAGAAAGTTGAAAAAAGAGGCACAACATGTGCATGTTTTCAAACCATTCAGAGAGCAATGCTGCCACCTGCTGGCTCGATAAAATATGGTCTCAAGTCATCCCCATACATATTAGATACAATAGACATCTGGGAACGTGAAAATAGCGAAAAAGGCATTTGACGGATTAATGCGTTAATGGCACACGACGTTTGGAATCTGCACCAAGCAGGTTTTCTACAGAGAGATTACGATCACCGCCCTCTCCATCAGCCCACAGGAAAAGTCAACAAAATAATGAGCCACAAATAGGTAATACTAAGCCATTAATCTACCAACCTTCTTGTCATAGCGACCCACCGCCTATGGTAGATTTTGCCCGGTTCCTTGCGCGCAGAGAGCTCATAACCACAGGCCTCTCTCAGTTTGATGACACCCCTGAGAACTTTCGAGCATGGCAGTCATCCTTTCTGAATGCAACCCAGGAAATAGGACTCTCATATAGCGAGGAATTAGACCTCCTAGTCAAGTGGCTCGGTAAAGAGTCCTCTGAGCATGTTAAAAGAATCAGATCAGTCTTTTGCACCAACCCTCAAGCTGCGCTCAAAGGGAAAGGCTCGTGGGAAAGGCTCAATGAATGCTATGCCACACCAGAAATAGTCGAAAATGTATATTCAATATTAAAAAAACTGGATAACTTCCCACACCTGACAAATAAGGACAATTTAAAACTCAGAGAGCTTAGCGATTACCTTTTAGAGTTGCAAGTTGCCCAAGAAGAAGGTTATCTCCCTGGTCTGGCATATCTCGACACATCCCGTGGTGTCAAACCCATTGTTGAAAAGCTTCCCCCTAGTCTACAAAATGAATGGGTCCATCGAGGTTCAAAATACAAGCGAACAAACAATGTGACATTCCCTCCCTTCTCGTACTTTGTCAAGTTTGTGCGGGAGGAGGCAAAGGCAAGGAACGATCCAAGTTTTATTATGAGCGACAGCCAAACCTTCAATCAAAGTGAGAGAACACCATTCAAACAAACCAACTACAAAACGCCTATCACTGTAAATCGGACAGAAGTTAAATCCTCCTCTACCATGGCTGCGGAGGAACAGGATTTAGCCCGCTATTGCCCTATTCACAAGGCCACACATCCCCTAGCAAAATGCAGAACCTTCCAAAACAAACCACTGCAAGAGAGGCGCAATATTCTCAGAGAAACAAGGCGATGTTTCCGGTGCTGTTCTCCAACCCACATAGTAAAGGACTGTGATGTAGAACTCATGTGTGAGGAGTGTCAAAGTGACAATCATTGTTCAGCCATGCATCCATATTTAAACCAGCAGCTTCAGCCACCAACTACACCTGACCCAGAAGCTCCGTCCCAAAACAACACACCACCAGAGGTAACATCGCGGTTCACTGAGATATGTGATGGAGGAAGTTCTCCACGTTCTTGTTCCAAGGTATGTCTTGTCCATGCTTTCCCTAAGGCCCAACCAGAGCGCTCTGTCAAGATGTATGCAATCCTTGACGATCAGAGTAATAGCTCATTGGCTCGTCCTGAATTCTTTGAGCAGTTTGGGATAACAAGTAGCCCTCTGACATACAGCATGAGAACGTGCGCTGGAGTGACTAAAATGATCGGCAGAAAAGCAACAAACTTCCAGATTGAGTCAATAGATGGAAGCTTACTTCTCGATCTCCCTCCACTGATAGAATGTAACAAAATAGTCACTAACAAAAATGAGATACCAACACCCGAAGATGCTCTTACTTATACTCACTTACAGCATCTGGCCCCACTCATTCCGAAGTATGACCCAGATGTTCAGATCACAATCTTATTGGGTAGAGACATCATAAGGGTCCACAAAGCAAGAGAACAAGTCAACGGACCCGACAATGCTCCCTTCGCCCAACGCCTTGATCTCGGCTGGGTAATCGTTGGCGAAGTGTGTCCCAGTAACACTAAATCTACCGTCAACGTCTTTAAAACCCATCTGCTATCTAATGGACATTCAACTCTCCTCACTCCTTGTCATAGCAGCGTCGACATCAAAGGGTCATTGTGTTACGGCGGGGAGCAAAGAAATGGCCACTTCAAACGCATCTCAAAACAAGCAGCAGAAGATAACCTTGAGCAGAAGAATAAAACGTGTGCCACATTCTCTGAGGACCAAACTTTTCCAAACCTGAAAGACAAATATTTGCATCCTGAAGAAAGTAAATCCTTCATCACAACGCTGAACATGTCCTCCCACAAATCTGTCCCAACCAGCAGAAACCCAGCAATGCACGCTTTTACACCTTTACCTGAGTCAAATACTCTGAACAGCAAATTTATACAAACCATGAAACCAGAAAACCTGGCGAAAGGTATTAAAAGCTCTTCTGCTCAAACTCAAGAAAGCGGCCGCTCACTTCAAGGTTTCCATTGCTACTCATCACAGAACCCTCTAGTTCTCAACGCTGAATGCCACGGCCATCAGGTCTGCTCCAACTCAAATAGAAGATAATTTCCCAGCGGAACACCTAATCCAGAGAAGCGCAATCCATCAGACATTTCAATTGAACTCGACGTTCCCCGATCCCAAAGCAAGTACTTTGGCAAGTACTTTGGTACTCAACACACCACAATTTCCAAAAAAGAAGACATCGTGTTACCGAAAAAGACTCGATACAGATAGTCACAAGGTGACAGGACTGTCCAATAGGCAAGAGTGAGGACATCGCCCTGTCTCAGTGACTCTCGCATTTAATTTCTTGTTGTTCACGTTGAAAAGGAACTCCTGCTTGAAAGTAGTGGCATTAATATGCCAGACGGGGAGTGTTCTGCCTCCGTTTTTTTAGTGGCTAGATGAACACCTGTTTAATTGTGATTGGTACATTTTGATTTACTTGTAAATGAGTTTCTAATAATTAACTTTAAACACCGTTTTCTTATTGGTTTGGTTGCTATGCAGTTTTGGTTCATTTGGTTGCTATGCATGGTTTCTAGGCAGCAGAAGGCTCTCAAATGTAAACATGCTTGTTAACAGTTAGTAACAGTAACAGTCTGCTGAAGTTACTACTGTCTCCACTTGTGTCTCAACTTTTCTAAATGTACGAAAGCAATAACTAAGTTTTACAAGTGTGTTGTTATTTGTTTATTTCTGTCAATCAAAGCTAAATGTACATTATTTCTGTTTTATTTCATAGTTTCACTCGAGCTTTTTTACGATAACCTGTCTACAAGTCCTGTATTAAAGGATCAACCTGGCTCGTGAAGACCGAGTTTGGCTTGCTGTTGATTTACGTTAACAGACTCCATGTATACAACACGTATTGAGAACAGTATACGAGGCATTACTTTGCGATGCAAGAACTCCCACGACTGTACACTACAGGGAGAGCGGCTGAATAGGATGAAGTTACTTACTATTAATGTTATCAGGGTTTTTTTTTTTTTACTTAAATGTTGCAGAAGCACTTTGTTCCTTTATGCGCATTAAGTGCCTTTTCTTCATTAGTTTTGAATGAAGAAAAGGCAATATGTTCAATTTCTTCAAAAATAGGAAACAAATGTGACAGAAAACCTTTGTTCCTACTTAAACTGACTCCTCTTTGATGTTCAATAAAAAATAAAAAATAAACGTAGGATTTGTTTTTGCTGTAGTTATTTATCTTGTAAAAATATCGTTATATAATGTATATCAAGATATTAAAAAATATATCGAGATATTTTGTTTTCTCCATATCGCCCAGCCCTAAGTGGCAGTCCATAAAAACGTTTCTACATTGTGAAAATCCCACTTTTCCAAAGTCTTAAAAATGTCTCATCAAGTTTGTTTTTTTATTTATAGATCCAGACACTTGGAGGATCCAGACACTTGGGAAAAACCGGCTCAGGGAAAAGCAGCTTGGGAAACACTTTGTTTGGAGAAAACACTTTCACAGTGGGCCATACACCGTACTCAGAGACAAAGCTCTGTCAGAGTGAGACCGGAGTCATCAATGGGAGAAAGATTCGTCTGGTGGACACTCCTGGAGTGTTCGACACAGACAACGACAATGATGAGACCAAAGCCCGGCTAATGAGGTCCATCGTAGAGTGTGCCCCGGGACCTCATGCCTTCCTGCTCGTGATGAAGATAGACAGATATACTACTCAGGAGAAGATGGTGGTGGAGCAGATCTTGAAGACCTTCTCTGAGGAGGTCCTGAGATTCACCACCATCATATTCACACGTGGAGACGACCTGCAGGACTCAGAGAAGATCAAAGACTGGGCCAATCAGAACGAAGATCTGAGAGTTCTGCTGCAGAAGTGTGGAGGCCGCTGCCACGTTTTTGATAATAAATACTGGAACAACAGCCAGGATCCATACAGGAACAACACAGTCCAGGTAATGAACCATCTCAAATGTTACACTCTGATTATTGAGGAAAAAGCCACATTCTAACCATTATTGTGGTGGGCGACAGTAGCTCAGTTGGTAGAGCATTGGCCTTTGAACCAGCGGGTCGTGGGTTCGAGCGAGACTTTCACCTTCGTCGTCCACGCTCTGCTGTCGTTGTGTCCTTGGGCAAGACACTTAACCTCTGGGAACACCAGTCACAGTGGGGCGGCTGCGGCTGTAAAGTGCCAAACTGCCGTTGTGTCCTTAGGCAAGACACTTCACCCCCATTGCCTAGAATGAGTCTGGTGTGTGTGTGAGTGGTTGGTGGTGGTCGGAGGGGCCGTTGGCCGATGCATTATTATTATTGTGGTCTTTGATGTAAAGGGGCAGAGCTCAGAGCATCTCTTCATTACAGACTTCACAGATCAGAGCAGACACAACATGTTTTGTCTTTTTAACCTAATAATTGTCTCTAAAACCAGGTCACAGAGCTGCTGGAGACCATTGGACGAACTGTGGAGGAGAACGGTGGAACGTTCTACACCAACGAGATGTTGGAGACATCGAGGCCAATATGAAGTCTGGGCAGACGTTCGAAGAAGCCAAACAATCCACCTACATACGCTGGCTCAAGAGACTGGGCATAGCTGCAGTGGTAATAAGTGCAGCCTCAATTGCAGTCGGATTTGCAGTTGGAAGTGCAGTTGCAGTTGGAAGTGCATTTGCAGTTGGAAGTGCATTTGCAGTTGGAAGTGCATTTGCAGTTGGAAGTGCAGTTGCAGTTGGAAGTGCATTTGCAGTTGGAAGTGCAGTTGCAGTTGGAAGTGTATTTGCAGTTGGAAGTGCAGTTGCAGTTGGAAGTGCATTTGCAGTTGGAAGTGCAGTTGCAGTTGGAAGTGCATTTGCAGTTGGAAGTGCATTTGCAGTTGGAAGTGCATTTGCAGTTGGAAGTGCAGTTGCAGTTGGAAGTGCAGTTGCAGTTGGAAGTGCAGTTGGAAGTGGAGTCGTAACTGAAGTCAGTATCACAATGGAAGCCTTACTTAAATCCTTTTTTTCCAAAAAACTATTATCATCAGTTAAAAAGAGGTTGAAAGTTGTAACCAAAAAGAAACTACAAGATTAAATAGAACGTCTGTTCTATAGAATCACAAATGTCTGAATGAAAATTGTTTTCTCCTTAAAAATGTCTTTGTTGAGATCAATGTAACTCTTTTCTTTGGAAAAAGGTTCTTGTTAAAAATCAATAAAACTTTAAAAAACAAAACAATAGTTTCATTACACGACACTAATGTGACAGAAGTGAGATATTTGAAGTGTCTTTGTGTTTCCACTGGCCCCGTTTAACCAGCGCCACAAACCACATTTATTATTAACAACACAGGACCCAGAGGAGAGAGGAGGCCCCAGACCTCCACAGGACCCAGAGGAGAGAGGAGGCCCCAGACCTCCACAGGACCCAGAGGAGAGAGGAGGCCCCAAACCTCTACAGGACCCAGAGATAAAAGGCCCCAGACCTCGACAGGACCCAGAGGAGAGAGGAGGCCCCAGACCTCCACAGGACCCAGAGGAGAGAGGAGGCCCCAGACCTCCACAGGACCCAGAGGACAGAGGAGGGCCCTGACCTCCACAGGACCCAGAGGAGAGAGGAGGCCCCAAACCTCCACAGGGCCCAGAGGAGAGAGGAGGCCCCAGACCTCCACAGGACCCAGAGGAGAGAGGAGGCCCCAGACCTCCACAGGACCCAGAGGAGAGAGGAGGCCCCAGACCTCCACAGGACCCAGAGGACAGAGGAGGGCCCTGACCTCCACAGGACCCAGAGGAGAGAGGAGGCCCCAAACCTCCACAGGGCCCAGAGGAGAGAGGAGGCCCCAGACCTCCACAGGACCCAGAGGAGAGAGGAGGCCCCAGACCTCCACAGGACCCAGAGGAGAGAGGAGGCCCCAGACCTCCACAGGACCCAGAGGACAGAGGAGGGCCCTGACCTCCACAGGACCCAGAGGAGAGTGGAGGCCCCAAACCTCCACAGGGCCCAGAGAGAGGAGGCCCCAGACCTCCACAGCACCCAGAGGAGAGAGGAGGCCCCAGACCTCCACAGGACCCAGAGGAGAGAGGAGGCCCCAAACCTCCACAGGACCCAGAGAGAGGAGGCCCCAGACCTCCACAGGACATATGTTAGCATTGGCTAATTCTTATTCCGGTGGTATTGCAGCATGTCAGCGCACGTCATTTTGGACACTTTTGAGCTGGGACCCGCCCCCACTCAGTAAACCACACATAAACCCGTGACTAGTGCAAGTTCACAGCCCTTGTGCAGGGCATTCAGTGACTCATTGTACAGTCTGACAGCCTGGGATTGAATTACACAACTGTATATAATGTACATATGACTACACTGTAAAATAACAACACAACTCAGACTATAGTTGGTTCATTCAGCTCCCAGACCTATTGGACATGTTTTTATTGGTAGGGGAAACTGGAGCACCCGGAGGAAACCTACACAGACACGGGGAGAACATGCAAACTCCACTACTACTGCAAACTACTTCAGCTACTACTGTGCTACTAATGCTACTACTACTACTACTACCACTACTACTACTACTACCACTACTGCTACTACTGCTACTACTACTACTACTACCACTACTGCTACTACTACTACTACTGCTGCTACTAAGTAAGTAAGTAATATTTATTTATATACTGCCTTTCACAGACCAGAGTCATAAAGTGGTTTACAGTTGTTATTTCAATTTGGAGAGACGAGAAAACAAGAAGCTTTTGAGTATTTTATTGGGAGGAGGTTTGGCGCCCTAGGCCCCGGTGCGGCCTTCAGTCGGAGAGGCTCCTGCGATGGAGCGCGCCAATCCCCCGGGACCTAGGCACTGGTGGCAGCATTTGGCAGCGGGAAGCAGATTGAAGGCAGATTGAAGACAGGGTGAAGAGGAGGAGGAGGGGAGGCGGTGGTTGCAAGGCTTCGGGAGGCCGTGAAGTGGGAGTTTCTCCGCTTTTAAGCGGCTGCCTGGCCGGCACGGATGAGTGGAAGGGGGCGTTTGCTGTGCGATAGGCTGGGGATGAGAACCGGCCTGGAGGGGTTACCTTTGGCTGACGTCTACCAAATTGAATTTCCACGGGCTGCATTTCAATTTGGAGAGACGAGAAAACAAGAAGCTTTTGAGTATTTTATTGGGAGGAGGTTTGGCGCCCTAGGCCCCGGTGCGGCCTTCAGATCGGAGGGGCTCTGCGATGGAGCGCGCCAATCCCCAAAAAGGCTGTGTGTTGATGGAGTTTTGCAGCCTGGTTTGGAGGGGACAGACGTCGAGACTACTCTATGCTGTGACCGCTATCGCTATATACTGTGACCGCTATCGCTAAATACTGTGACCGCTATCGCTAAATACTGTGACCGCTATCGCTATATACTGTGACCGCTATCGCTATATACTGTGACCGCTATCGCTATATACTGTGACCGCTATCTACTGTGACCGCTATCTACTGTGACCATTACTTGCGGATACTCAGCTGCTGCCGCCACCAGGAAGTTTAGCGAGTGTTTTATGGAGATACAATACAATACAATACAATACAATACAATTTATTCTTGTATAGCCCTAGGTCACAACAGAAGTCATCTCAGAGGACTTAACAAAACCATTGAAATCACCAACACAGGTCAGAGAATCAACAGTTAAAACACATGAAGAATATAAAGCACACACAGAAGAAAATGTCCATACATGTTGTAGAATGCTAAAGTGTCCTGATCATCACCAATCCTTTCTGTTGGACACTAACTGTCCAACAAGACCCTCCTGCATCGACAAGGAAAAACTCTTAAAAAACCCAGTGGGAAAAAGTGAGAAACCTTGGAGGAGAACTAGGGAAACCCACAGGGAGGGAGACCCATATGAGAAAGGGATCCGCTCCTCCGGACGGACAGGCTAATGATCTAGGACCTAAGCTAGCTACAGAACGTGGACCAGTGGACGCTGAACGTGGACAGGTCCGATGCCGAAGGCGCTGGGCTGCCAGAATGGTCGAAGTGTCAGGCCTGATGTATGAGGAGGGCCGATGATGACCAGCGGCCCAGCTGCTGGAGGGCGGAATGGGGGAGCCCCAGGGACGCGGTGCGCGTGGCGGCGCCTATCCGGAAGGAGTGGGCTGTGTAGAGATGGGGAGACAGGTTACAAAGCAGCAGTACGGACTTGAGTTGGGCTCTGAACCAGTTGGATGACGTTGGGAGGTTATCGGGAGTAAGAAATAACGGTCCGTTGAGATCTCCTTTCCGAGAGCGGAGGCGAGTGTACTGCATCATGGATCTGTAGGGACAGGGAGAAGAGTCAGACCGAGCTATGACTATATTGCAAGCGCCTTTGCGTTTGGAATGCTTGAGGTGGAGGTTGAAGTAGTCGGGATAATATGACGGGTCGGAGAAGGCAATGTCTCGGGATGCATTAAGGTGGCGTGAGAGTTTGTGAATTCGCTTATGCGTAAGAAGCCCATTTTCATGTAGGATGCAGCGGAGGAGAGAAGGTGAAGAGACGGAGGGACTAGACCAGGGCGAGGGATTCCGTGCAGGGGATCTGGCATGGCGATGGATTGGCAGAAGGGCAGAGGCGTCAGAACTCCTGGAATTTAAAGCGAGAGAGAGAGTCAGCAAGACAGTTAGGTGACGAGGGACGTGACGAGCAGTGATGATAAATTGTTCAGGACTGAGAGCCATGTGATGCGCCTAAGTAGGATGTGATTTGGGGAGAGGATGAACGACCTCTGTTAATTATTTCAATGACGTCGAGGTTGTCGCACGTCACGGAAATCCTTTTCCTATGCCACGTATGGTTCCGCAGCACGCAGGCTACGGTCACGGGATATATCTCGTGGAGCGCGGAGGAGATGCTTCGAGGGAAAGCGTCGGGCCGGGGCCCGGCGAACCACTGGTCCTGGAAAAACCCCCAAAACCCACGGACGGGGCTGCGTCCGTGAAGAACCGCGGGGCATCTGAGACAGGATGACGTCACTGTAAAAAAAAGAGATACACCATCCCAGCGGCTCTGCAGACGGGACCGGAACGCCAGGTCGGAGCGGCGCCCCGCGTCCGGGCAGACAGCGTCATTGAGGGAGGAGACGGAGCCGGCGAGGGAGAGGAGTCTGGAATTAAAAGAACGACCTTGGGGAATGATACGGACGGCATAATGAAGATGCCCGAGGAGGGAGCGCAAGGACGCCTCGAAGTGACGGGAAGGCCAAGGCGGACCGGGAGGAAGCGCGGATGCGTTCGAGCTTGTCCAGCGGGAGGGAGGCCTCCATGGCGCGTGTGTCGAGGCGGATGCCGGGAAACTCCAGAGCGTTGGCGGGGCCTGTGGTCTTTCCGGAGTGGAGGAATCCGAGGGCAGAGAAGGCGAGCCTGAGCTTGCGGAGAGAGCCCCCGGAGCAGTCTGAGGGTGGGTTGACTACGAGGGAATCATCGGGGAGATGCAGGACAGAGGGGAGCCGCGCGTAATTAAGCAGAAACCGACACGGCGCCTCCGAGAGATTGTTGAACGAGAGGGACTACTCCGGCAGTCAAAGGTGA